ATATAAACCATGCATAAGACTAACTCCTGGAGACAAGGTTGGTTGACGTGTATGTACTATTCCAGGTTTCCTTATGCAAATAAGATGTATTCATAGCTCAAATTTGTCTCTAAATAAAATATAATGCACTTCTTTCCAAGTCAATAAGCAAATACTATATTTTCAAGGACCACCTCATATTCCATTGCGTGGATGTACTATATTTATGTAAACAATCCCCTATTGGCAGATATTTAGATTGTTTCTCATTTTCTTTATCTCTTTTTCAAAGAAAAATAATTCAGTAATGAGCATCCCTATTGCAAGATTGCTGCATGTAATCATAATTATTTCCTTAGAGCTGATTCCTAGAAGTCAAGTTGTTAGGTGAAAGGGAAGGTATGTTTTAAAATTCTTAATACATATTGTCAAATTGCCCTCCAGAAATGTTGTAAAGCCTACAATCCCTTATCTACAAAATTATGAAAACTGAAAATGCTTTCATACGTTTGATATCTAAACTCATTTGGTGGCAGACCCTGACCTGAACGGGCACGAGGCTATTTACTTTATTTATCCCACTTAATATGAATATTTGTACATTTGATGCAAACACATAAATGTATGTATTGCCCTAGTTCCCAAGGGAAGTGTTATATAATATGCAATTTATACATCATATCGCTTTTCAAAAATCTGAAAATTTCTAAATTTCAGAGCACTGCTGGTTCCAACAGTTTCAGGTAAAGGATTGTGGGCCAAAGTTAGTTCATGCTACTCCAGCAGTATATGAGAGTGCCATTTTCTTTATGTACTCACCAATACTTGATTTTATACGTTGTTTTAATCTTTGTCAATCTGATTGTTAAAAATCGTAAGTGAGGTGGGCACTTTTCCTGAGTTATCAGGCCATTCGAATGCCTTCTTGATCAGCGAGTCAGGGGCTGTTGGTAGCTCTGAGTGCTTCGGCCCCAGCTCCCGTTGGTGAAGACTTGGACTTCTGAATCTCTGCCACTTTCGTACTGCTGCTGACCATCTCTTCACATCCCCTCGGGGACCACTGGCCCAGCTCCCTGCATCTGCTCTTCCTCTGCCATCCGGCAGTGGGAGTTTCTCACCCTCTGCTTTCTGATTTACAGTTGTCACTTCCAGTAGGTGGAACACATTCCTTCTAATTCATCCAGTTATTGAGTGGAGGGAAGGAGGAGTTGTCTCATAGGAGAGACAGGACCCTTGATAACACTGTTACTCCAGGAAGTTCCCTTGTTTCCAGGAGCCCTAGGACTCTGAAAGGTGGTTCTGGGTCCATGTAGGTTCTAACAAAGCTTCATACCATCCATAACCCACACCTCTGCCACTGAAGTCAACTCACCCTGCCAGAGCAATTCTGCATGTAGGGTTATTTTTTCTACCATTGCCATATACATCAGTCAAAATTGCCATGAAATTGTAGATAGAGCCATTCAGGGAGACTGATCCCAGCGGTCTTGTCCCAGCACACCACCTGGTATCATGGGGGTCAAGAAGGCTATGGGAAACCCAGGCAGGCTGACTCAAAGGAGCACCTGAGGGGAGATACCAGGGTGTTAGATATACCAATAAGGATGTGACACGGATGTCCAGGACCATAGACTGTCATAGCTGCCCCAGGTAACGAGGTTGATGGCTCTGCCTGCCTCATGGATGCTCTTTTGCAGCAGAGGGCCTGGCTTTGGCTGATGCATGCAGATTCCTTCCTCCAGCTGAGACCCTGAGCGTATCAGAGACTCACCCACAGGCTGGGCCAAGGCATCAGGAACACAATCAGAGGGGCTGCAATCAGGGATGAGTCTCAGAGAGTGCTGCCCAGGCCCGGAGAAAGGACATCTGAATCCTGATAAAGCACGTCCCTGAGAACCTACAAGAGCAGCTGCAGCCAATGTAGACAGCCACAACCAAAAAAGGGTCTTGACGCAGAGCCTTCAAGAGGACATATGAGATCATTCACGTTCTCAAGACAAACAGTGTTTCAGTATCAGTCTCTGAATGCCCGAGATCACTTAAGCAGGCTTTGGGAAGTGGGCCAATAGGATATGCTGGTATTTCTAAATAAAGTACCTTCCAGTGGCTCTTAGTCTGGGATACTAACTGCATTCATACATTGGTTCTAACGCTTTAGCAAGCTATTTAAATTTTCTGTACCTAACTTTTCTCATCTGCAGAGTGGGGATGGTTATTAGGGTCATGTAAAGCAGATGAAACAGTGCCTGGTGCATGGTAACCACTCTGTAAATGTAGGCTATTATTGTTGTTATTATTTTATTATTGTTTTGAGCAGTTATTAATACTATATCAGATGAAGAGTAAAAACGTTTTGATCATGAGCCTTGACAGTTCATTATGGAAAGTAGTAGAGAAAAGAACAATAAACAAAGAAGGTGTCATTATCAAGGCACAAGTTCCGATTGTCAGACCAGAAGGAATCTCTAATTTCTTCCAGCTAATAAAATGAACATGAGAAGATACAGAGGAAGAGGTTGAGTCCCAAGACAGCAGAAAAGGAGCATACAGCAACTGAGGGAACTGGGAGGAAACCCAGCAGAACCCTAGTGGCTGGGCAGGTGAGCCCTTAACCTGTAGATGTACCTCCTGCCTGCAGTCCTGGGACATTCAGGGAAAGGGATGCTGGTGGCATAGGACAAGCCATTAAGAAGGGGATGAGCATATGTCAAAATAGTAGGTTTGGAAAGATATTTCCTCTCTGAAATTGCAAGAAAAAGGTGCTTAGAAAAAGAAGACTGAAGGAGATCAAAAGAAGGCAGCGATCTGAGGCATCTCTATCTTGCAGTAGAATAGTCTTTAGTAGATGAAGTCGGTCCCCAAGAGAAACAGAAGCAAAGATAGAATGGACTCAGTGCTCAGTGCATCAGTGAAGTATCACAAGTCTCCTTATTTTTTGCCTCTCCATGGCCAACCCAGAGCCCCACCCAGAATTTACCTGGTTTGGGAGGGCAAGGCCTGATTGTAGAGGCCTTCCTGCATCACAGAGAGGCAATCAGGCTGGAATACTGAGGAGGGGGCTCATAAGAGGGAGGTAGTGGAGGGTCTGGACCAAGAGGGATGGCGGGGCTGTCTAATGAACAAGCATCCACTTGATCCATTTCAGGTGTTCACTCTCTTGGACAGCAGGTCTGGGCACTGTGTGGACATCCTTGCCATCCATCCACATTCCATGGAAGCCAGCCACAAAGCAGAGGCAGAGAAGAGCTGTCTGTGGCCCACTTCCCATTTTTAACAGCCACAGGACTTGACTTGTTGCTTGACAAATGCCAGTGATGCCTATCCTTAGTACAATATGTAAGAAAAATAATAGCACAACAAGGAGGGGTGTCCAATTCTGAAAAGATACCAAAAGTGGCTTCAGCCCACCAATTTTAGGAAATGAAAGACCTTGGAGTTAAGGGCATATCATCAAAGAGTTGTGAAGGATTATTTCAGGATAGCAAGATCCATTCAGGAATTTCCAACCTGGAATTCTAAAATAAAATGGCAAAAGGGAGAGGGACACAAAACATTACTACTTATTTTCTATGGGTATATATGGGTGCATATATGTATATAAACATACATACATATATATATGTGTGTGTTTATATTTGTACACACACACATACAAATACCAATGAGGTAGGGGGAGCAGAGTGAATATTTGCTAAACATTAATTCAGTTTGATTTATCACTCTATGTGTGAACAATATATAGAGAAAAAGGACTGGGAGCAAATGTACCAAAAATGTCAATAATGGGATTCTGCACGGTGGGACTATAGGTAATCATTTTCTTTCTTTAATTTTCCTCTATTTTTCAAATTTCCAAAGTTTGGGGTTTGGTTTTGTTTTAGTCTTTTGATGAGGGTGTTAGATCCCAATGCCCTGCTTCCCAGGGGACTCCTTGTCCCTGGCAACCTCACATGAGGTATGTGTGAGGAGATGCAGCAACTAAGCCCAAAAAAGTCCTGCTATGCCTTTCTCCCATTCTGATTGCTCAAAAAATAAAAACAATTTTTTCCATGGTAACCTGCAGCCTCCTGCATTAGACGCAGAAGCCACTGGCAGCTTTTAAATAGCAGCTTCACGCCCTCCTCCTCTTCACATACACGACTTAAGAAAAAAGCCTGGAAAGGGCACTCCAAACTGTTATGACTGACGTGTTAGTTCAAACTGACTACAGGAATCTGGGTGGTGAGATCAAAGGTAATTATTATCCTTTTCCTTTACACTCTTGTTATTATGTGAATTTTTTAGATGACAATGTGTATTAGTTATTATAGCCATACAAAAAAATTATTTTAGGAAAAAAAAAAAGGAGAACTTTGTTACTTCTCCACGCCCTCAGGAGAAAACTCAATTTCTCTACACAGCTCAAAGCCCCACACGATCTTGTTCCTGAGTATTTAGTGACATTTTAAGTCTTTGGCTGAACTATATGAAGTTACTGTTTTTCATAGTCAAAAATGGTGAGTTATCTGCAACTTTAAATGGTTGAACCTACCCAAGGCCCTCATCCTCAATTATGTGCTGCTCCCTCAGCCTCCAAACCCAACCCTTCCCCACCCCATCTTTCCTCTACCTCCCCCGACCCCTTCTCCCTTGCTAACTTCTACATTTCTCTGTCATTTCTCCCAAGTAGCCTTGGATACTGGATTAGGGACCCCTCCTATGGGCTTCCCAAACATCCTATCCTCACTCACTCATTCATTCACTCAACAAATAGTTATTAAGCACCAACTACATGCCAGCTGAAATCTAGGCAGGAGGAACATGCTAATAAAAAAGACAAAGTCAGTGACCCCTAGTCATACTATTCTGTAATCTGTCTAGGTTCTTATTTCTAATCTCCTCCACCAACCTGTGAACTCTTCCAGTCAAACTCCACGTCTTATACACCATTAAACAGCCACAGCTCAACATACCAGGCACATACTAATCACATGCTCGTTGAATGAAAAATAAATGAGTGCCTCAATTTCATGAAAGTGTTATGTAACTTATTTTATTTCTCTTGTTTAGTTTTTTTTATTTTTTAAGGTTATTACTCTCAGTAGCAGTATTTATCTTCTGACAAAAGGAAACAGCTGATAAAAGAAGTCCTCCTTTGTTCTGGATTTCCTGGCCAGGTCCCGCGCAAGTCCTGTTTGCTTTGACCACTTCTGGAGTGCTTGCTGGGTGAGGTCAGGGAAGGGAAGGAGAACACTCGCCGGCCTGTTGTTGGAGCCACAGGAAGCCAACTGCAAGCTCCTAATGTGTGGACACCGGCAGGGGGAATGGGAGGGGCGAGAGGATGAGCAAACAGCCTGGACAAACCCCAACCTGAGGAGAAATGTGGATTTAACACCTCTGTCAGCCTCAGGACCTGCCCAGCAAAAGCAGCCCATATATATTCGGGTCCCAGAATTCGAGGACACCATGGGACAGACGGGGAAACTAAGACACCAAGCGGAGTCAGCACCAACCAAGATCAGAGCCAGGAAACAGTGAAGCTGAGAGTCAAACCCTAGCTTGCTATCCTGAAGTCCTTGCATTTTCCTGGAGAGGCAGAGCTGAGGGGGTGGGTGTCTAAACCTCATAGCTCCTGGCTTCTACTCAGCTATAATGACTGTGGGTGATTACTCCACCCACCGTTATTTACTGAGCACCTACATGTTCCAGCCCCGTCTAGGTAAGCGGTACTGCTAAATGCGCAGTAGCGGGGCAGGCAAACTCCCACCCTTGAAAATCCCCACAGTGAGAGCAATATGATTTGAGGCATCCATAAAGTTGTGCAACTCACCTGGGTGAATCAGAGTCTGAACCTCTGGAAGCCTTTCAAGGGGGAGGTGGCCTCTTCAGCCTGCCCCTCCCAGAAGCACAGGCTCTGCTCTGGGTCCCGCCTCCTCAAGGTGGAAGCTTTTACTTGCCCGAAGCATGCAGGAGTCCTGAGAACCCAGACAACACAACAGAGGGGAAGGGAATACCCCCATCGGGCATCTATGGTAGGCTAGGCCCTGTGCCAAGGCCTACACACTATATTGTCCTTTGATCCTCAAAACAATTCTCTAGAGATTAAGAGACTGAGGCTTCAAAGAGAGGATTGAGAGGACTGACTTCTGGATTGTCTACTGAAAAGCCCCCAGCACTGTACTGTTTCCTTACATTCATTACACATTAGCACAGGGCTCCCAGCAACACCTTCTACAGCAAGTGGTCCGAGGCACTTGGAGGGTGTGCACAGTGGACAGCACAGATTTTACAGAATATTTCTGTCATCTCGGACAGTTCTATTAAGTAGCACTAAACTAAGCCATGAGAGTAGGCAGCTCATAAAGCGCTTTTCCACTACCCTGCATCTTCCACTCTCACCCCTTCCAAAAGTGACCATGGAGCAGGGAATGTTGCAGGTGCTCAACAAATATTTGCTGGGTGAATGGGGAAGATGTGGCCTGAAGAGCAAGAAGGAAGTGGCTGCAGAGGTAGAAGTGGGCCTGATTTATTCGAGAAATGTTTACCACCTGGTTGAGAGCTTGGGCAGACCAAAGGGTCCTTTCTCCGTCACCCATCCCCGCCCAAGAAAACACAGGAATGAATGGTGACATAATTTACTGGAGCAATAAAATCCATACCTACTGATTACCTCTTCAAATGACTCATGTCCGACTGTGTGCACTTACAGTAGAGCATTTCAACCAGACCAAACAGTGGTTAGTGTCGATGGGGGCAAGAGCGTCTTTTTAAAGTGAGATTTTTTTTTAGTCCAGGCCAGAACTGGAGAGCTAGAATCCTGGAGTTCCTGTAACTCAGTTCCTTTATGGTGTAGGTGAGGAAACTGAGGCCCAGACAAGTGATCAGCCCATGGTCACACAGCTAGGTTGAGGCAGAGCTGTTCTCCTGCCCACCTGCCACCTAGAATTCAAGCCAGAATGAGAGCTCCTTGTCAGAGTAGATGGACCAAAGAGCAGAAAGCTCAGGTGGCCAAGAGAGCCAAGGCTGAGGTCAAGCTGATGAAGAAACCAGGAGCAAAATAAAACTGAAGGTTAGAAACGACCCCAGAGCAGTAGGGCTGACCAGATGCACATTAAGAAGGAGAAGGCAATTAGGAAATATCCAAGTCTGGAAGCACGAAGTGCCGGCGAGGGTGATGGAAATAGGCACTCATGTTCACTGCTGGCGGGACTGCATATTGGTAGGGCCCTTCAGAGGACAATTTAGCATTGTCTAGTAGAATTTAGAATGCACATGCCTATTACTTAGCAATCCCACTACTTCTCTAGAGAAATACCTGTACATGTGCACACCGAGACATGTACAAGACTGTGGCAGCATTGCCTACAATCTTGAGAAACTAGAAATAACTTAAATGTCCAACCATGGAGATGGATACACAAAATGCAATATATCCACACTATGGAATACTATGAAGCCATCGAATAGAGCATGGAAGATCCATCTGGAGCCACCACATCACATACTGTATCTTTGCATGAATTAGAAAATGTGGTCCCCTCTGGGTAAACCAATTAGAGAAAGGAAGTCCTTCCTTTGGGCTAAACCAGCAGAAATAGACTGAGTTTCAGCCTCCCTCATGCCCACCCCCTCCCCCAGCTGTGTGACAAGAGCAGGGGCTCTGAGTTCAGTCCTACCAACCTGAATGACTCTGTCAAATGGAAAAACAAACTGTAGAATAGTATGTAAAACAGGATGGCTTTAATAAATTTAAACAGATATTCTTTATATTTTCTATAGGGACATACATACATAACATGCATGTTAATGAGTAGAAAAAGGACAAGAAGGATGCACATCTTCCTGCAATAGCTGTTTCCTCTTTGGGGAGAGGGGGGCACTGTTGGCCAAAGTGGCCTTTAATCTTATCCAAAGTGTTTTGATTTAATTTTTCACAAAGAGAATGCATTTTCCTATAATTTCTATAATTAACTTTTAAATTGAAAGCTAAAAAATGGAAAGGTGGGCCTTTGAGGCAGAAGGAGAAATTTGTGTCATCCTAGGTGACACTCACCACCATCACCACCAGTAGGTTTAAAGGCACTGTGTCCCATGGGCAAAAACCCACACAAGCCCATTCTGGACCTCAATTCTGACTTCAATTTCCATGGTAGAAAGTAACAGAGAGCTCAGATTGAATAAAGGAACTTTTTAAAAATCAGAGAAAAGTAAACCTAGTAAGATCTCTCTCTCCTAGGTATGCCTTGTAGGCAACCTTGGTGACTTCAGCCCCCGGAATCTCAGCTTTGTCTCCAAGGCTGGAAAATGGGGAGAAGGGGGTGGAGCCTCTCTTTTCCCCATCCTCTCCCAGAGGCAGTATTTCCTGGATGTAAGGAGCACCTCTATGCTGGGATGGAAAGTGATGAGAAAGTCAACACACCAACTTGAGCAAGATCAAAGGAACCATCCAATGACTTCTGGGGACTTTATCATAGCAAAAAGAAGGTGAGGGAAGTTGACTGGTCTTGAAATTGTTTTTTAATGGTTTGATTTCACGGTCTTCTTGCTACTTAAGTACCATTCATCTTCCTCCAAATCTCTAGTGGGAGCTTCATATGGTTTGGCAGCTCAATTTCCTCTCAGCCTACTGGATGAAACAAAAGGTCCACCGGTCACTTATCTAGGGAAAGCACATGGAGAGCCATTAGGACCTGCGCCATCAGATCTCAGTGTCCCTCTCTTTGCAAGATTTACAGCCCTCATGGGAATGGATTTATATCTCAAAACACTTGCTACTCTTGTCATCTCCATTCAGAAGCAACCCTTGTATTGATTGTCCCTGCTGTGGGTACTGTTTAATTATCTCTCAGACCAATTGGCCACTCAGCCAAGGAGATTTCACTGAAATGACAATGATGTTTGACTTGAATGTGTAATTCCAAAGGAAGAGATAGTCTTACATCTATTTCCCTACTTCCCACACCTATCTTTCTTCCCTTTGCTTAGACCACCCAGTGTCATACCCACCCACCAGCAAGTATCTGCTCCAGGGCCATGATGTGCTGCCAGGTGGCATTTTTACATTGGGCACTCTTTGCTCAGGAAGTGGCCCCAATGGCATTTCCCAAGGCTCACTCTTCACAAGAGAGGTTTGGCTCTCATAGCAGGGATATCATTTCTCTCCCAATGACTGAGGGAAAAGGAAAAATCTGGAATGAAAGGGCAGCAAACAGAATGATGAAAAACTAAAAGTCTAAGTTAGGGTCTAAAAGCTGTGGCTGTGGAAGGAGGAAATGCTGGCTCCAAGCTGATACTCCATGTGTTTGTCAGAGTAATCTTGCTGTATCAAACCTCATATTTAGACACATCTTACAATCTAGTCGCAGGCTGGCCACAGTTTTAGCTCTTGCTCCTATCTCTCCATCTCCCCAAGCTTGTCTGGCACAATCCAGCCCCGTTGGTCCATGTTCCTGCTGCTTCTGGGACCAGGACTTTCTTAGGTGGTTCTCCCAAAAGTAGACTCGAGGCAAGGACTCAAGAGGAAGTAGTCTGTTTGGAAAGTGATCTCAGGAAACACTGCTAGGGAAATGGGGAAGTGAGACAGGGAAGGAAAGGAAGTCAATAAACGATATGTTATTAAGCAGGTTACCGCTCTGGACAAGGAAGGCCCGATCCCCTTGGAGACTTTAGGCAAACAGCATGGAGCTCACCTCCAAGTTGTTCCACTTGAGAGGCAAAGAAGTTGTGACCTTTATGGGCCGAATCCCACCCACCATTGGCTGAGGGCTGCCCTAGGCCGTTAGCTCTCCAGCACTCCCAGCCTACCTAGCATATTTTGGAGAGAAAGCATCATGCCAAGAGTTGTATGTGCATGCAGTAGGCCGTGAGGGCCATGTACTAGATGGTGAACCTGAGGGACATGGGTAGTGCACCCACAGAAACTGCTACAACCCTTCATCCCCTTGTTGCCTGGAAAACTCTTAATTATCCTTCAAGATCCAGGTGAAACCTCTTTCCTCACTGTCTCCACACAAGGAAGAAATTAATAGCTTCCTCCTCCAAGTTCTATTAACACTTTGCACTATAAACCAGTAAGCACATTTTGTTCTATTTTGTTTCACTATTCTTCTTCCCAAACTGCACAGTTTTAGTGTAGAGATCAAGTCTGAGTCATCCAGGTATCTTAGTACATTCACTCACTCATAATCTCTATTTACTGAGCATCTACTCTGTGGCAACACTGTTCCAGGTACTGGGAATATAGAAGTAAAAGGGCAGGTATCACAGAGCACGGCAGGGAGTAGAAAAACAAGTCCCATGTTTATATCTCTACCACATTGAGGGTTCTCAATGAACCACTTACATTTGGATTCTCTTAACTGATCTATTTTCCCTAATCTTTTTGGGCTATTCATAGTTCATTTTTATGTGCTCTCCTAGGGATGAGAAATAAGAGCAGAGCTCTTTGTCTCCCTCTGCTTTGTTTATATCTGCTTGGCTCATCCTCTTCTACAGCAGACAGGCTTTCTCTGGATAGCTGGAAACAAGGCCACCATCTTCTCCAACTTCAACTCCTTTTTGACCCATAACCCCAGGGACAGGGCCCCTCTCCAATTCCAACTGAAAAATCTAGGGAAGGACCCTGATTAGCCTTGCTTGGATCACATGATCCCCTCAGTAAGATGTCAGTCTTGTGATTGGCACCACCACCACCCAGTCATTTGCTTGGAGTTGGGGAGGTACAATTCCCCAGAGTAAGGGTGGGGAGTGCTGGAACAGAGAAAATACTACAGATGGCCCACATGGTATTAATGTGGATCTTTAGTAAGCACAACTTTCATTCTCCTGACATCTCAGAATTCTTGTCTTTCTAGATATTTTTAAAAGACAAGCTAAATTACGTGGGGTTTTTGCAAACTCCTTTTAACAGAATCAAGGGATTATGAAAGATAATGAAATGAGTGATAGCAACCTAAGTAGAATAGATCACGCCAACTTTTGTGGCCCTTCCATGGTTCTGAAGTCTATCAATCATAACAAGAAGGACATATTGGATGTAATGATGGCCATGTTTGTTTATCTCTTTCCCCTTTCCAAGCTGTGGGTTTCTTAGGGGTAAGGTTCATATCTAGTTCATCTCTATGTTCTCAACATGCATCTGAGATTGTGACACAAACGGCGATCTCTGGGATGGATGGGTGAGTGGATAGATGGATGGATGGATGGATGGATGGATGGATGGATGAGGAAGGTCCTTTTGATGCCAAGAGTGTAGATGGTTCATAAGTATGAGAGCTCAAGGATTTGCTAGTGATCTAAGCCAGGCAGAGTCTCCATCTAGACCTGCACTGTCCAGTTACGGTAGCCACTAGCTATGTGTGGCTATTTGAATTTAAATTAATTAAAATTAAGCAAAATTATAAATTCAATTCCTCAGTCATACTAGCCACATTCCAAGTGCTCAATAGCCATCTATGGCTAGTAATTACTGTTTGGACAGCACAGATTATAGAACATTTCTATCATCATGGAAAGTTCTATTGGGCAGCTTAATAGAAGCCAAAGGCAAAGCAAACTGAACCAAAAGCACATTCGTAATCAGAGCCAGGCAAATAAGAACCAGAAAGAACCAAATGCCAGAGGGCAAGGGCAGCCTGCAGAAATCAGGATTCCTACAGAAACTGCTGGAGGACAAACAAGGTTCCAGTTTTGAGGGTCACACTTTAGTTCCCACTGGGCTGGCTCCTTCTTCCCAGACAGGAACCAAAATCCAACCAGGGGAAGGAGGAAAGCAGGAAAAGCTGGCTGGAGTGAGAAGTGTAGCAGCTAAGAGCAAGAATTGATTTGCCCTGCACATTCCCTTCCCCAGGGGGAATCCTCATACATCTGGGTCCAAACTTATGAGGGGAGAAGCAGAAATAAAGAAAAACAAAGTCACTTAAGTTATTCTTTTCAGTGAGTCCTTTACCTTTTTTTTATCTTTATGAATTTTATGATAAGGATGAAGCCAAGAAAATAAAGGTCTGGAAGGAGTTGGGTGGAACATCCAACTCAGAATAGTCCTCCGTATAAATGTACCAGAATTCAACCACTCTCCTGTGTGAGGCATGTTTAGGGTGTTCTAGTTATCTTTGCTTACCCAGTCCCTGACTCAGTATCTGGCCCAGAGGTGGTACTTAGAAAATGTTGTTGCATTAATTAATCCCCTTTCAGTGAGATAAAGAAACAGTATAGTTGCCC